CTCCACATTATTTATTTTGGCTGACATTTTAATATAAATATTTAGTTCAGGCAGCCACAAATAAAACTCCTGTTAGATAGTCTTATATCTTTTTTTTTTTTTGTTTAGTTCGGTGCTGTTATAGATTCAATTTGTCATTAATGCTGTTATTGTTAGACTTACATATTCTTAAAAATAGCACTTCCCCAGCCTATTCACCCTTATACCACATTACTATACCAGGTAAGTTAAGAGATATTGTCCAGAAAATTAAATTTATGACCAGTTCTCCATGGTTCTGAAACAGTGAGATTATGTAAGGCCATGTCCATTTTTAGTGCCTTTGTTTTTTTATCTCCTGACTCTTAGACCTTTGTTTAGCACTTCTGAATAAATAATTGGTCTTTTGCTAAATATTTTTGGCCAGTGTATCTTGGATGCAGATTTCATCAGCAAAGCTCAGATCTCCAGACTTAAGCTGTAATTTGAGGAATTAACTGGAGGTTCATGGCAGAAAAAAAAATTGGTAATGGCACTGAACAGCATGACAGAAATGCAGACACTTCTTGAGCTATAGGAGGAACAGCAGGCCAGTTAACTCCTGACTGAAAAGAACAGTATGTTTAGCATCTCCAAAGGTTCTGGGTGGTTTTTACACAGGTTCTGTAAATTTGTAGTATTTCTGCTAATACTGTTGAAGTCCTTCTGAAAGTTAACAAAACCTATGGCAGGGTGTAGGTGCTTTTCATTGATTCATTCAACACTCTCACATACTACAAAAATATTAACATTTCAAAAGAAACTCCACAGAACTGTAGTTGTTACTGTCACAACTCATTTCCCTTTTCTTTAATAACTTTTTGATGATTCCTTTCCTCTGTTATTCTTACATTCTCTTTTTGCAGAAACTTGTCATAAGAAAAGCACAATAGTGGCAAACAGTGAATGGTTACAGGAAAGTAAATTAATGGAGTAAGTATATTGTGAAACTTAACCCAAAACACTGCACTACCCTCCACTAGCTTGTGGCACAGAGTCAAAAATACCGTCTTTGCATGAAATTTCAGGACTGTTTTCTAGATCTTAGCATAACTTGTTTTGAGCTATGTTGAACTGATTTTGTCATAGCTTTTGTAAATGCAATTGTAGAGTTCTGGTAACACTGATATCTGTACATAGGCTTCCATGTAGGCAACATATATGGAAAAATTAGAAAAAAAAAAAAAAAGAGAAACATATTGCCAGAACCAGATAATATTCACTCAAGAGCTTCTAAAAAAGACCGAAATGGCTGAAATGTAAACTGGATGTTATGACCTTTGACTTTAAGCTGATTCTGGAATCAGGAAAAATGTCAGGTCGATAATCTGACACCAATTCTTAAAAGAATTTTGCTGGGATCTAGAGATTTCAGACCAGTAGATCTGATGTGGACATCTACCACGCAGATTAAAAAAACCCCAAATCTATAACAGAGTAAAAATATAGTCATATGCAGGATATCAGGAAGGAGTCAACATGTCTTTTGCAAGAGGAAGATCAGTAGACATTTTTTGAAGATACAAAAAGTGAGCAAGATGGATTGGGTTAGTCCACTTAGATTTACAACTGATATTCAATAAGGTGTCTCACCAAAGGCTTGTCATTATGAGACAATAAGGAAGGTCTCACAAGGGTACAAAAACTGGTTTCAAGAGGAGTAAATGGCCATTTTTCTGAAATGGAGGGGGATCTGCGCTAGCAATGTACTCCTAACTGATTTGGAACAGGAGATGGGGTGGTGAGGTGACAAAGTTTGCCAATGACATTACATTATTCAGGGCAATAGGAATGAAAGTCAGTTTGAAAAGCTGCAGTAGGCCATCACGATACTGAATGATAAAATCACAGAAGTTGTCCAAATGTAGGTAGGAATAAAACATACAGTCCTAACCTTAACACTGTGTTATAACCAGCTTTGAGGTATTGATCTTATTTAGGAAAAAATAACTTGGGATTTTAGTAGGTAATTCTATGAAGATGTCACCTCACTGTTCGCTGTCAATAAGCAAGTTGGATGTGAGGACATTTTAGGAAAAGGAGCTGACTGTGGCATGGAGCAACTGGTGTGAGAGGACACGATAATTACTTCCACTGAAAGAAAAAGGGGGTGTCAAATGAAACTAGCAGGAGACAAGTTGGATGAAAGAGAAGAGGGTGGCTCTTCCCACGCAGCGTCTAAGAAACCCACGGGACCTCTTGCCACAGGATATTTCAATTGCTGAGGTTTCTTTGGATACAAAAAGTGATTGTTAACTCATGCAAAAAGAGGTGTCAAGGGCTATTAAACACAAATATACTACCTTGTTTCAGTCAGTCTCTGAAAAAGAAATTGCCGTAATCTGGGAGGACAACCTGTGTGCTTGTCCGGCTCAGCCCTAGCCATCTGATGTCTCTTGTCAGAGAGGAGGTCAGATGCACTTTCCATCTGATCTCGTATTGCCATGTTCTTCCCTTACTTGCTAAAGCGCTAGTAATCACCACCTTCTAGTGCTTGTTTATCAAAAAGAAATTCACACCAGCCTGGCACACAACCTACATGGCTCATCCTTCGTATGGTGAGGACGGAAAATAGTCTGAAACACTGTCTATCTGCTCTCTGTGGCATTTGACCTGTTAGAGAGGAAGGAAAGGGGAACCTGAGGTCTTTGCTGGCCTACCTTACGTCCTCCAGCACGGGGCAGCAAGTGGGGCCACGTGGAAGGAAGGGAAGGGCAGCACAGAGTTGTCTGGGGTCTCTCAGGAGCCTCTGCCTCCTAGGAGAGACGAGGCTCGGGGCTTCAATGGGTCTCAGGCCTTTTGTGTATGGCTCACGTGGGCCAGGGAGTCATGTACTGCGGCATCTCCTAATGCAGGTTGGCCAACTCTGTCTGGGGAGAGAGCCCAGCACAGGACAATGCAATAAAAGAAACAGAAAGGAAAGAGGGCTTGATAGCATCCGTACAGCCGAACTAACGGGGTGTGCTCGGTAGCCTGGTGGAGCCGAGGTCCATGTTTAGTTCCTTCATTTTTGTTTTGCTTCCCTTTACTGAAATGACTGATGTTAGGGAGCAGAGGCAAGTTCTTCTGGGGATTCAGGTTATCCTGAGAGAAAGTGCTGAACCCTTTAAACTAGGCTGCTGTGTCTTTGCAAAGTGTTTACCTGACACCGGCTAATAGGGTAGGTCTTGTCTAAAAAATAACGGACGATAATGAAACAACGTTTTATTTGACATCCGATTTTATCGCACTGAAGTGAAGAAAACTTTCAAGACCAATACATTTTGGAGAAAGCTTAAACTGAAAATTGAAACCAATATCTGACCCAGATTAATTCAGCAAGTGCAGGACTTTCACAATAATGCACATTCCCCATTTCTTATTTTTTCGCCCAAACCGATAGTCAGGGAAGGAAAGTCACATCCCATTACTGATTTCTCATAGCTCATTCACTGACGTGTGTGTGAACCTAACCTTCCTAGGACTATTTAGAAAAATGTTGGCCAGGCTTCCTCCTTTCTGTAGTCACCTGGCTATTTCATGTTGCTACATAAACCTGCTTGGCCTGCTGGCCATGCTCCTGATCGCTGTTTTTGCAAATGACCAGTTCTTTTAATACAGGGACAAATTAGTTTCAGCAGAGTTATGCTGGTTTACAGTAGCTGAGAATCTCTCCCTCGCTGTAAACCTCTGAGGGCAAAAGTAATAAGAGAAGTAGCAGACTTTTTGTCCTTTGAATTAACATTGCTGAACTATAGCTGAGTGTAAAAATTATTCTTCTGAGAATGAGAGTTCTTGTGAATTCTCAGTCGTCTCTGGAAAGCATATTTAATACAAATGTTCAGAAACTTGTCTTTATGAAAAGTTTCCAACTAGAGATTGGATTTGCCTCCAGATACTGTAAACCATGCTGAGATCTGTGCAGAACCATTTTTAGCCTTGGAAATGCGTGATGTGGAACTCACAGTTTCGTACTGATCTCTTGAAAACATCTTTAAATAATAATGTTTTCTAATGGTAAAATTCAAAGAAGTTATTTGTCACATGGAGTTTCTTACTATGCCTTCTGTAAAGAAAATACTGTGAAAATAGTTTCAGCCATCCCCATGAGCATTTGGCTCAGAATAAGTTTCCATAATTAACAACACATCATTCTTAATATGAATAATTGTATTTTTGTCACACTTTTGGTTATGTTACAGAAAAATTAGAAAAATGAGCTGCAACAAAGAAAAAAAGTGAATGTGTGAAAACTCCTGTGAATTTGGAAATGCCTGTTTAAAACTTCTCATGCGGAACGTCTCCCTTGTGGTTTTTGGAGCAAGCCTCCTAAGTTTTGCCTCCTAAGTTTCCTTTGTATGTTCCCGGCAGCAGTCCAGCTGTAGAAGAGGGATCCCTGTCGGTGCGCAGCCAGCGCGAGCAGCGTACCTCACAGCCTGCCGGGAGCGGCAGGGCGGCGGGGAGCTCGGGTCATCCTCCAGCATCCTCCATCCACAGCCGGGCAGTGAGCTCTGAGTGAAGGAGACTCGACCGGCCTTTTCTGGCTGCTCCCCTCAGCTTAGACCCGTAGGATCCCAGCAGCAGATTCACCGTCCCTTCCTTTTTAGTGATTGTTAGAAGTGGAGCTGATTGAAGGATGATCCCTTTCCCAAGAGCGTTCTCTGGGCAGAGCTCTCTACCTGCGGAGCAGGCACTGACTGAGCCCTGCAATCCAGCGGCTTGGTGTGAGCAGGCGTAAGTTCACCCGGCTGGAGGATCGAGGCCTTAGTCCTCTGTGTAAAAATCAGATCGTGTTGTCGAATTAAGAGGCAGCCCTGTTCTTCCTTTGTCTCCCATCCCCCACCTTCGGTATCCCAATGTCACTCTGGAGGATTTCATCTCCTCTGACCCTCAGCAACTAGAGAAATTTGACAGAAACACAAGCCGCCCCTGCTATGTAAAATAAAAGACTTTTGTGGAAATCCTTTATCTTTCTCTTCAGTAGAGCATTTCGAGCAGTCGTGATGCCGGTGCTAACCAGCAGCCTGGCCGGGGTAGCCATCGAGCCGTATTAGCCCGGCGGCCACTGTAGGGTAACTGCAAAGCCAGCGGGGGAATATCAGTGCTACATGGAGACCATAGCTGTGGCTGTGGCTCCATCCATAGGCTTTCTGAAAGCATTGTGCACCTGCAAAAGCCTTCGGCAGTTAATCCTTCCTGCTGGGCAGGCTGGCACAGAGGCGTGGACACCGTCAGTGTGACAAGACCGGGGAGCGGGCTGAGCTGAAGCACCGGGTCCGTGGAAGCAGTCTTGGCAGACGGGAGTTAGTTTTGCTGCTTACAGGTTCGGCGGAACGAGCACCGTGGTGTCCCTTCTGCAGGAGACCCTTCACGTGCTCCAGTGCCAGTCTCCTTCCCCCAGCAGAGACTTCCACTGCTTCACCATCACCAGCGCAGAGGTGAGGAGGCAGGATGAGTCCGGACGCGGGTGTCTTCCGAGCGTTTGCTGATGCTGACACCAGCAAGGTAAAAAAAGTTTATTGCACTCCTACGCTTCTGGAAAGGAAAATCTCTGTTGGTGCCGAAAATGCGCACCCTGGAGAGCTGTCAAACAGCCTTATAGTGATGCCAAAAGATGTTTTGAAAAGTGACATAATTTAAATCCGTTAATTCATATTGAATGCTCTTTCCTGCCTGCTGAGCAAGATTCTGATGGTAAACTTTTTTCTCCAGAGAAAGCACAAATTTACATTTCTTTTTCAAGCATGAAGTTCTACGACACTTCCATTCTGCTGGCGTTTGGAAGTCCTTTGTGGGTTTTGTTTGAACCATAGTATATCATAGCACAATACAGACACAAAAAAATCTCGGTAGCTAAACACACATCATCAAGAAATGAAATAGCTAAGAGTTCAGTGGCAGCAGTAATTTGCTTTCTTTTCTAAAAGTCTTATGGCACAAGGATATTTTTAGAAGCACCTCAGACACAAGAGCTTAATTCCTCTTCTTAAAAGGAGCTAAATAATTTTTTAAAAGGGATATTACCCACCTTAAAAAAATCACTTCATATTTTAAATGTGTTTGATACAGGAGTTGCCAACATTTGCCATCTGAGGGTCCCAGGCTTACCCTTTGCGGAAAAAAAGAAGTCCCTCAAAACCGCTTTCCCTCTCAAATAGAGCTGCTTATAAACTTCAATTACCTTTTTTAAAAAAGCGGGTACCTGTCTCCCTGATCAGCCGTAGTGTCAGGTAACATTTAGCAGTGATCTGTCACACCTCACAGGCTGCTTTTATAGAAGCAGTATTTTTTTCAGCAGTTATGGCTGAGTTTTCAAGAAAATCAATCCTGTCCATGTAGTGAAAGTGTGGTGAAAGTGGAGTGATCAACCATGATTCTTGGTTGATGAAGGATTTTTTTGTTCGTTCCGCCTCTAGAGGCCACAGGAGAAAGCTAGCACCGCAGGCTGGGTGCCTACCTGTTCCTCTGTGTAGTCACGTCCCAGGCTCATCTCCTGTTGAATATAGGACGTGTATTTCTTGTTCCTGTGCCAGGAATGTCCTTTAGTTCAAACCCACCCACCTCGTTCCCTGGTTTCAACCATCTCCTGTGTGACGTGTTGCTGGGGAGCAGGAGCTTGGTCAGTCTTCCCTCCCTCTTTGTCCTGATCCAGCTTGAAAGCATCTTTCCTGAGCAGGGGCAAGCAGCTTTTCGGGTGTCCCAGGGGAGGTCTCAGGAGGGCGTGCTGGGCAGGCGTAGGTTTCCCCTGGGTCTCTGGGACGTGCCCTGCCTGACACACTCAAGGACGGTGACTGACTTTCACAGAACCACGTCCTAGCATGGATTGTGGTTTTCCCACGACTGACTTAAAAACAGCTGGTCATTTCCATCCAAATCTTCCATTAAGAGCACTCCTGCTACTTGTCCCCAAGCGTGGCACTTGCATTTTGCACTATCGCATTTAATCCTGTTTTTATTACTCCAGATACCACTAGCTGACTCCTGCCTCAGTCATTTGTGGAAATAGTGTGTAAAGTCAACCCAAAGCCAGCTAATAACCTGTCTCCACTGTGGTTCTCATTTCATCCTGAGTGTTTTGTCTTTCTATGGTTTGCCACCCCTTTCACCTAGCTCACAGTTCTTGAATTAATTTCCAGCTTCTATAGTTCATCTAATAATTTCCATTTAGCATGGAATTAAACACTTCATTAAATCCCAGACAAATCCCATTTACCACATTTCTTCTTGGCCAAACTAAGTTAACTTCTATTCTTTTTTCATGCTGTTGATTTCTGCAGGTGATCTGGAGTACTTGGAGGGTTTCCTTTCAACCTAGTCAAGAGAAGGTTTTCCCAAAGGAGGTGAGGAAATTCCATACTGCATTTTGGTGGATCAGCAGTTACGGAGCAAGTATTACACTAGCAAACAGGGAATACATAAAGTCTTAGCCCTAGTGAATAATACTTTTTTGCACTGTATGGTTAAACTTTTTTCCTAACTTGATAAGAATTTTTTTCTCTACATCTAGGGATTTCATTTGATTTCTGAAATCATGCTAAAATGTCATGAGTCTTCCCCCTTTCAGTTAATATTATTGTGAGAGATGCTTGCATATAGTTTGCAGTTCTAGATTATCTTTTTTGCGTAAGCAAAATGTGAAAAGTGATCATATTCACCTGTGAAGTTTCTCTCTGAAAATGTCAACAGTTTGAAGGCACAGAGTACAATCACACAAGACAGCTATTTTATTTCATTTTATTCTTTCTTTTAGGCCTCTAAATTACTTTCTGGAATTGCCTTTTTGTTCTTATTACATGGTAATGACTGTAATGAATAGAGCAATGAACCTGTTACCTAACACTGTAGCTATGGAGAAATCACAAGTCATTGGAAGTATGTCTTAATTACCCATTGAATACGTTTCTATCCTATGTCACACATTTCCAAGTGTTTTCTTCTTAGGTATTTGATCTTTAAATGAGGAACTTAAAAGTTTTCAATACACAATCAGCTTTCATGTTTGTGTGGGAGGAAACAACACAGAGTCTATTCAGCTGTGGAAGTGTTTCCATTTTTCATTTGACATCCCTAAGCTAATCGCATTTATTATTCCCTTTTTAATTGTTTTGGATTTTGCCCTGTGTGGAGGGCTGAACTACCTCTCTCGAGTATTTCTTTTCATTTCAGTGGAATGTCTTGGGTTGTAACTTGTCGGGGGGGGGGGAGGCAGAACACCCAACTCTGAACTAAACAAGGTTGCTGTCAGTGGAGCCAGTCCCCTCCCCTTGGTGGCAGCTGCAGGAGCGGCGGAGAGGCGGCTGCTCTGCAGGGGAAGGGGAGCCCGGAGCTGGGAGCCCGGGTGGGCAGGGGCCCTGCCCTCACCAACGGGTCTGCGGTGGACCAGGAGGTCCGAGGTCAAAGCCAGGAAACGGAGTGGTGGGTTGGGGTGCGGGAGGTGCACAGCCAGGCACGGCTGCCCTGTGTCAGAGGTGACGTTGAGCACAGCCAGCCAAACCCCTCGGAGCGGGCAGGGAGGAGGCTGCAGAGCCTTTTGGTACACCCGGGGCCCTGACAGATCCTCTGTCCCTCAGTAGCATCTTCACCTCTCTGTTCTGTTCTCTTCTGCTCTGTGACAGGGAAGTACTTTGAACGGCAATGCCCTCCTCTCCCTTTATACCACTGAAAAATGGCTATGGTAGCTGCAGAAGCTCTTCGCCGCTCTTCGCTGCTTGAAGGCTGTCGTAGGTCTGCCTGATCAATGCGTATGGGGGCTGCAGGACCAGGCTGGTAGGTGCTCTCCGCTCCGCCTCTGTGTCAACGCTTCAGACAAGTTCTGAATCACGACCATCCCCAACCTCTCTGCAGTTGAAGGTGCAGCCAGCACCCGGCCTGCCGGCAGCTCATCCTTCCTCTTTCTCATCAACATATACAGTAATGGCCCCATCTATTGTCTCCTCTTGAGTCCCAACCTCTCCCAACCTCTTTCCTCCTAACACCGAAGCATTGACATATTCCTAGCCCAGTTTTATTGCATTCATGATCACGTTTTAAAATAATGAGGTTAGGTGAGGATTATTTTGTGTTTATTCTTCTCTGTCTTTTTCTTTTCTGGTATCACAGAGCCGGTGAGGAACGTCTTTGGCAACAATACGCTGGAGTACACAGTTAATTTATGTCAGGGGCATTACAATTTCCTCATCCGAATGCCCGAGAATGTAATTATACACATACTGTCGTTTCTAGATGCTGATGACCTTCAACAGCTGTCAAAAACCTGCGAGAAGTTCCAGCAGGTAATGTCAGGTATCGGTGCTCGTATTTAAGTTCACTGTTAAGAAACAATATGTGAGGCGGAACTTCGCTTCACTGTCATTCAGTAGAACCATCCGCATTTCTGCGGTAACCAGAGATGGAAAGCAGCACAAAACAGAGACCTGGGCACAGATTGGTAGTAACAGGCCAGGTCCTTCATGCTGTGGATAATCTAAACCCTCTTTCTGGCCAGCTGGATCCTTCTAGCGTGACTTTCTGTTCACAAGAGCTGGCAACTGAGATCCTGATTAAAAAAAAAAAAAATCCTGCAAGTTTTGTGCAGAACATTCATATTCGACTTTAGAATATATAAACATTTTTAAAGAACAAAAAAAAGAGCTTCTGCATCTTTTTGCATCTCCTGCTTTCTGAACATGCTGGGAGGCAATTATGGATCCTGCATGGACCATGAGTCAATACACCATTTTTGTACCAGCATCTAAAACCCCTCTGAAGTTAGTTTTTACCCTTTTGGAGAGTATTTATTTTTTTCTAATCAAAGCTGCTAGTTGGAATTGGGCATTCACAATTGCAGTCTGATGTTTTCTGTGTTTGTGTCAGTTTGAATCAAAATACTATAATATTTCTATTTGTAACAGTAATGAGCCTCTGGTAGTATTTACATAGTTGTAGATGAGTTATGCAAATGGAACATGTTCAGGAGATCAGGATGTGGCCTAATGAAGCGTAAACCACAAAATATATCTGGAAAATATTTATTTTTTAGTTACACAGCAGTGAAGAGGTTTGGGAGAGAGTTAAACTGTTAAGAGATAAACCAGCTCTCGGTAAGAGGAAGATGACATTGTCAGTCTTCAAGAAGAACTTCAATGAGAAGCCCAAGCAGATGCAGAGAAGACAGAGTGCATTCTCTTAAGGCACTTGGAAATTATCAGTAAGACTCAATAGGTTTCCCATTTGTTTCACATATTCTTTCTTTCAAAGGAAACAGTTATAAATAAATAATAATAACTTGAGAATTTTAAGTTTCTCCTCTCATCATTTAAGACTTAAACAGCACCACCAACTCACAAGTCACACTCCCCGCTGATTTTTAAAATTCTATATTACATCAGGGTTGGGGGGAAGTACTAATTTTTTTTTCTTTTTAAGTGTGCTTTATTTTGATGTTCAATATAATTTTGTGCATAGTCAGTGGTTTTTGTCCTGTTAACATTTGATGCCTTTGTTTGGGCCGATCGGGACTAACGCTGCAAATCGAGGCTAGCAGAGAAACTGCTTGCAGCACGAGGAGCAGCGTGGGCTTACCGTGGCTGGGGAGATGAGCTACTGACCTCCAAAGACTCTCTGAAAACAACTTACAGACATTTGATTTTAAATGAAAAGAAGCAGCAGAATGTGTTTAAATATTGAACGTGAAGTTGTCAGTACAATGTTTTGGAGTTGAATAAGCTTCTCTTTAAAGCTGCAACAGGCACGAATGCGGGTTTTTTTACTTGAATATTTACGTTCCGCATCAGTTTTCCGTAACACAATAGCTCATGACAGGCTGGAGCCCAATTCCAGTTTGACAGACACCGTGATTTCCATATTGCTAAACGTTGATGACTCAGGACTCAATAAGAAACAGGGCAACAAAAATTCAGTGAAGCTATCAAGTCGGTGAAGATTTTTATTAAATGTAGAGCATTATATTTTAAAAGCAAGAAAACATATGGCACCAAAGTCAGCTGCCATCTAACCAGACACAATTCCCATTCCGCAGGGATGCTGTATCTAGTTTCAGCAAAGCTGAATTTGCAAAACAAAGTTACTATTGTGGCAACAAAGCTCTCACGCCACGCTGAGTTTGCACAAAGACAGGCTGCGAGCCTGCGTTTATTTGGCGTCATCGGGAGAAGCGTAGAAGAACGCGTAGGCACGGAGCAGGTGGCAGCTCCTCCCGCCTGGCCGCCCGGGCGAGGGGAGCAGGCTCAGGCCCTGCTGCATCCCCGTGCAGAAGAGATTGGGGCACGGACTTGGAAATGCATTCTGCTTCTTTAGCCATCATATTTTGCAGCATTACCATGAGGTACACGCTGGCTTCCAGCAGGCAGTGCCCCCCGAACCCCGGTCAGGTGAGGGGTGCAGCATTCTCTACAGATACGGCTGTACAAGCCCCCATCCCAAACCTGATCCCTGCTCCCACAGGCATGAGCCATCCTGCTGGCACTGCCCGAGATGGCCGTCAGCACAGAGAGGGGGAGCTCAGCAGGGGCGTTTCTCTGCCGGCAGGAGGCATTTCTCATCTCCTCGGGGTCACACTTCAGCGGAGAGCCTGTGGGCAGCACTCCCTCGCGCCCTGGGCTCCTGGTGCTCCCGGTGCTGCCTCACTGCTCCCGTCTCTCCTGAGCTTGTCCTGGCAGGCGCTGCATGGCTACAGAAATGCTCGGATCCTGCTGGTGGTGGCCGGTACCTTCCGCTGGCCCCCTCAGATGTGGGAGGAATGATGCTGGTACCTGCTGAAGAAGAGAGGTTGTCCCAAGAGTTCCTTGAGTGGTGCAGCCAAGCTGCCAGGCAGCGGGGGCTCCTCGGGACGCGGCTCGGGATGCAGCCGTGGGGCAGACTCTCCACATCCAAATCCGAATATCCCAAATACTCCTTCAATGTGAATACAGAAGTCAAAGGCCAGGCTCTCTGCCCCCCTGCGCAGGAGGCTGCATTCACAGGAAAGCAAAAATAAGTGAACAAACGGGTTGCAGGAATCCCAGTCAGTGAGGGCATGGCAGCCTGACCTGACGGACATGGATGTTTAAACCTTGACAGTTTTTATTGAGTCGGAGTTTGACATCCAGTCTCTGGTAGCTAAAAGGGATGGAAAATAAGAAGCCCCCAAATGGAAAAATACTGCTAAATAAAATGTGTTTAGTTATATTACCTATAATGCTATCAAGAGGTACTCATAACCTAGGCACTCGGGTGAAGGTGGGGGAGTAGCCTGAAAGCCACCGTCGGCCAAAAGATACCAAGCTCGAGTTTGTGAGCATGCGCAAGATCGCTGCTCTTCTGGGTCCTGCGGGTCCCTCTCACAGGTGAGACCCCTCCTCCAGCCTCCCCTGGGCTTCCAAACGGGTGGGAAATACTCGCTTTTGAGCAGACCCCCATCTGGCGAAGATCTCGGCCCTGTCCGGCTCTACCGCAGAACTTTCCTGGCAAGCCTCCTTCTCCTCAGCCCCAGCCGGGCTCTCTCACTGAGGGGAAAGCCTGCCCCGTGCTAACGCTACCTGACCCAGCCAGGACGCCAAGACAAAATCCTTCCTCTGCAGTCAGGATAAACTTGGAAAACAAGATAAACTTTAGATGGAGCTAAACCCAAATGATTCTCTTAACAGCAGTTTTACTTAAGCTTGAAGTAATTTTAGTTGGCAGCTCACTTATGTAGCTTGATATTAAAAAAATGTATTTTTATCTACTTCTGAGAGTACCAAGCAGCATAGCATCTTACTTAATTTTTCTAGACTAATAGATGAAAAAATTGCAGAAGATCACATCTCAAAATCATAGTCAAAATCTTTTTGCTTTTATTCTATTTAATGCTTAATATCTGGGAAAATACAATAAATAATTTTTCAGTCTGGAACAATTAGATGTTATGCTTAATAATAAAATGTTCAAAGAGGATGTAAAAATAAATTAATATCTTACTATCTAACTTCAGTGACAAAGCAGGTCTCAGCTTCAGACAACTGAGAGATTTTCAGCCATGAAAGACAAATGAACATGTCCTGCCCTTCTGTAAGCACGCAGCTATCATTGAAACCAATGGAAGAGTGAGAGAGAGAGAGAGATACACACACACATATATATGTGCCTGCATCAGAGGGCAGAAATTGGCCTAGATCTTACAAAACGGTATTTTGCAGTTGACATTCATGTATGTTTATTTTTTTAACAAATAGAACTGCAGAACGTTCGTGTATCATACATTTTCCAAATCCTGCAACTGCAACTTATATGAAATATTAGCATATAAAAAGTCATCACTGTACAACCACTTTTTTTTTAAAAGTCAGTGTCAAAAACATAAAAACCAGCTAATTTATTAAAACCAGATATATTGTTTAAGTGCTGAGGTTTGCGTTAGCTTTCTTCTGTTTTAAGCATAAGAATCTATTAAAACAAAAAAGGCAAAAGTGGCTCAGAAAATGACAAACTCTCTAACAACATACTTGTAGCTTTATAACACTTATCTGACGCTATAGTTAATTGAAAAACAATGTAAACACAATGAGGTACAGATACCAACGGACATTTCTCACAACTGTGCAAACTGTGGGCCGCCTCCTGCAAACTCTACCGGCTCCAGAGCTTCCTCCCAGGGCCGGTCCCACCGAGCCCGACTGCAACGCCCCGCAGCAGCTCCTGATGCTGCCATTTGCAGGAAGGGGTCCTGTGACCCTCACGTCATGCACCAAATACATTTAAAGTGCCTCAGGTTTCAAACTGATGCAAATCTACATTTCATTTCTTTAGACTTGAAAAGGTGAAATAGCTTCTGAAAAGTCTTATATAAATACTCCTTCAAAACTATTAGAGGTTTTCTATTTCAAGGTAAATCTAGTAAAATATTGAACTGCGTTTAAATTAGGCAAGTAGTATTTGCTCTGCTTTTTGTAAAAAAGCAACTATACTCCTTTGCTGTCAGATACTTTATACGTCTCCAGTCACTCTTCCCTTTATTTTATAGAAAGTAAGAGGCAGAGCTATTATAATTTTGTTGGTGCAATCGCCTGTGGAGTTCTGAAACAGCCCTATGGATTTTTTGTGATGACACTGAATCTTAAGTTCATCCCTTTTCACAAGCCTTTTCTCCAGTTTGTTTTACTCTGCTTCTTCGCTCTTCTCAGAACCACCTCCAGCTGAATTATCTGCCTCATACTTTTTATCAAGAGCATCTTCAAAGGATTTCCCACTGCAGTCATAGGTTTTACTTGTAGATCCCGTATGTGTTCGAATGCGAGCTCCTGGCTGGTATAACTGCATGGCTGGGCGATCCTAGAAGGAAGAAGATGTGGTTAACACTCTGAGAAACCTGTCGGGGATACATACGTGGGATTTTAAAGTGATGGATGTTTGTGGAGAGAAGTAGATTTTGTGTTAAATCATTTTACATTTCATAAGACCCGGGAAAAAAATGGAGTGTAATGAAAATTGATGGAGTATTTAATACCTGTCTTGTTTATAACACTATTCTTGGGAGCCAAGCATTCTGAATAAATGAAGAAAGCTGTAAAAATTAAAGATCCTATGATACGTTAGATGTAAACAAGCAGAAATATTGCAGACAATTATCAAACACAGTATTACAGGTAAAACTCTGAAATATGTTGCTACCTTCACTAACATCAACTGGGAAGAACAATAGCCTGTGCACTTGCAACTCTGCAGATAAATGACAAATATTAAATATGAGCAAAGAAAAGTAAGACAAACCAGAGAACAGTTTCGCCGGTAACAGCTAGAAAATTACAATCAACTGAACTTGACCAATTGATATGTGTGCACTGCTACTTCAACTCATGAATCATTACCACAATTTAAACATGGAATGCACATTTTCATTATATATATCAAAATAAAATTGCAGTTATGGCTTTGCTTCATCATGCCTTCCATACTGAGTATGAGAGCAGGGGAATTCACCCACTGATAATAAACGAAGTAAGTACAATTTGAACATGCACAGGCTTTGTGAGTGACCCAATCATACACACGCTGATTTGATCACTGGAAAATGGAAGAAGGGGCCAATTTACAAGGAAAAGACACCTCAAACTTGCAAATGGTGATGTTCCATAGCTCCTGAGAGAGCTTTTTATTCTTGAAATTTCAATGATAAAACATACCGCTTAGAAACTCTGCTGAAGAAGTCTTTTCCTAGCAAGAGTATTTTACTCTCACAAATAGCAGTTTTTAATGTTAAGAAGCAACCCATTCACCAAAACCCAAGCTTTTTGACCAAAGTCTTGTGTTAAGTTTAGCAAACTTAAGACAGTGGCAGAGCACTGAAATTGTCCTACATCAAACTATATTAATTTTCAATTGCCTTCATAATTTGAAGTCATTCTGGTCTTTTGTTCTTTCATTCTTTTTTCTTATTCCCAATATGCATTTTCCCTTTTTCTTTCTTTTTCCCTCACCTTTGTCTTTTTTGCTCCACTTTTCTCTCTATCTCTTTAGACCAGGTATCAAGATTCACTATTGGGCCATACAACCAGGTGGTGGTGTAACCATCCTAGTTAGTGCATTGTAGTGTGGTATGAAATGCGTAACATACATCTTTCTACATCACAAACAGCTGCATAAAACTAGATCCTCTGACAAGCAATGCCCCTTGGAAAGTTTATGATAAAGGGTCCAAATGATTTTTCATATCACAGACTCTCTACCTCGCAGTTTGCATGAAAGCTAGCACAACTGTTACTTACACCGGAAATCTCCCATTTTCTAATTAATTCTTATAAACTTCAGAAAGAAGCTTGATCTCTGCCTAAAAACTTGTGTTGGAATTGTTAATTCTATAGGTAAGTTGGAAAGCTCAGCCCCTAACTCTTATTTATGTGATAAATACTCTAAGGAAAAAAGTCACCACTGCAAAAAACTACTGATACTGCTTATTTTGTTCAGGGAACAAATCTAGCACTTGAAGTGTGGACTAATCCAGAGACTCAGCAAGCTATCAGAAGTGCGATGGGAAGAAATAAAAAGCAGGCGGCTTCTTACGGCTTGACAAAAGGCCCCCAAGACCCACCATCCAGTTCCAAGGTTGCAGATATTTCACCAGATTTCAGGAGTAGTGCAGCAAGCATGAGGAAAATTGCTTTTCCCATCTTCCTGCTTCTGAACTAGCCATTTTTCTGACGGTTCTACAGCTTGAGCCGCTGGTGTATGTGGAAAGTGGCTGATGTGTATAGGCAGATAAATCTCACCCATACAACCCAGCTGACCTTTGCATAAACAAAAAGCGGGGCACACCAGGCTTTCTGTGTTTGCAAAAGGTGACTTACTTGACACGCAGAGCGAGTCCACCTGGACTTGCTCTATGCACACTCCAGACAGACTCACTCTGCACGTGACCAGTTTACTCCTTGTCAGCCTTAGCCCACATCACACATCAGTCACTTGGTTTGAAAGAAGAGTTTCACATGTAGAATAAATTTCTACACAAAACAGTGTTTCAGTCACCTTTTGTGGAAAATCTAGGATCAGAAGGCAGAGAGAATGAGAGTGACAAGGAGAGCCACCTCCTGAAAAGATCCTGGCACATCCATGAAATCAGGCAGTCTGAGAAAAATGACGCCCATGCCTCTGGGAGACAAACAAGGGATGGCTCTTCTACACACCCTGCTACAGGCTCCGCTTGCACTTTTCCCTGACAACAACCATGAGGATAATTTGTCCTAACCAGCCTTTTCGTACTGGCAGGTATACAATACTGAAGAATTTGCACATTCACACCCTCTAAATACAGTGGTCTCTGAATTAGCTATTTATTTAAGTCCTTATATTTCCTCTACTGAGCAATGCCCGGCCAATCCATAATATAATTACTTTATGAGCTGGGCAATGGACGTACATTTTTAAAAGACTAGTATGCCACAGTTTTTAAATTTCAACTACAGGTCAAAAGTATAACAATTTTTAATACACTCATAAAATACAAGGCTTCCAAGAATAGCGTTCTAAAAATGCTAGGGTTCAAAGGAAGACAGAAAGTCTGTGACCTTAACTTATTTTAACTGCCGTTGTCCTCTGATAACAATAGAAAGAAGTCTGGGTTTTACTGAAAATTTAAAGAATTGCTTTCTTTGAAAAAGCATCTTTATGCTGAGTTTGCAAAAGTAAAACCTGTGATCTTGAAGCATATTTAACTAATGAAAGATTATCCTAAATGAATAAAAGAACCTTATTTCTTATGCGCTCCTTTTTGGATGCCATGTCATCACACTTGTCCTCTTTACCCAGTTTGTCTACTGCCTCCACAGTGAAGCTGTAGTTGTAGTTCCCTTTCTTTCCTCTGTCTTGGTTGTATCCTTTCCCCCACTTCAGCTCTTCTTCACTCCTTCTCACAAACTTGTCAAATTCATAGTGAGCTCTATGCTTTCTGCCATCATCCAATCGATACCTTTGCCTTTCAGGTTCTTTCTCTCGAAATCTTCTCTCCAAGTCTCTTTGCTCTTTGTCACTATCATTTTGTGATCTACGAGTATGTATAAAAAGAGAGAAAATCCAAGCAATTAACAGTAAAAAAAAAGCTGCTGAAGGAAACAATACAAAACCTTCCTTTGACTTCAACAGTATTTAGATCAATTGTATGGCAAAGCTGTTTTTTTCTCATTAAAAAGGGCTTATGCGCAATTTTTCCGAATGTCTCATCCATGTATGTCCAGCCCTTGACTATGCATTTAGTTCAAAATAGCAGACAAAGCTTTGCAAGCAAAATCTGACTTCTGTGCAACTGCTGTGGACGGCCCGTTCTTCAACTTTTATCCCTCTTTGCAATCCCATAAATAGCTCCCCAATGCTCTTCACATAAACACACGCTACATGATTAGCTCATGATTAGGCCTGTTCTTGAGATGACTCACATATATGAGTATTCCCTTGAATGGGAACATTCAGGGCCCAAAGGAATTGTGCAGGTATCATGTATCAATTTGTAAAGTTTTATGACTCTATTTAACGAAAATTATTCACTGACATTGCAACTTGCAGAAGGCATTTGTGAAAATGAATACTTATGTTCCAGACTTTTGTTTATTATGTCTCCAAGTAATTTAGCCTACCTTTGCATATTTTATTTAGGCGAAAGACCATTACCTTACCACAACATACTACTTAATTTCTGCTATGCTGCAATGGGTTTGTATTATAAAGACTATTAATTTGCAACATTTTGCTGCCTGTCTGATACAATTCTCAGCTCTCTTATTCACTTCATTGTTCCTGTTCAGCAAGCGGGTGCTTCTCTCATACAGCCAAACTGCAAATAATGAAGAAAGATTACAGAATAGATTGAACTTTAAAAGGAGCAAATACAGGCAGTTTCTTTTTATATATTACATATGTATAAACACTTAAAATTGAAACAAGAAAGTTGCTTCTGACAGTCTGCTTACTTTTTGGGAATCAGCAGACAAAATCAGAGAGGATGGAGATTTTCTAATGGTGTGGTGATCAAATAGCGATATGCTTCTCACTTAGAATGGTTTAGTATCAATAAAAGTGTATCTTTCTATATAACTTTTTTTTAAAATAACAGAACTGTGACAATTGTCAGCCTCTGCCATGAACTTGGGCATTGGCAGGGCTGCCAAGACAGGGGCCCCATCTCAGGAAGAGCTGGAGGTCAGCAATAAAACCTAAATGACAGGTAAGTTATTCAGCATTTCGCAAGATTGTGCTCATGTCAGCATAACACATTCACCAAGTGGAAGCAATGTCCCACCTGTCATAGACAGCTGAATCAATCACAATTACAGAGATACTGTACCTGTAGCATACATACATATATATAAAATACTATGTTAGCTCTCAAGGGGTGTGTGGCTGTAAGTTGTTTTGTTTCACATTTAATATGCTATTCTAGACACTAACTTCAAGTTCTAGCAAGGCTCAGAGCATGACTTTCCAAAAAGCCCGAAAGACACATCTCCATTTGTTGCTGTAGCATTGCCTGGTACCTGTCTCTTCCCCTGCCTGTTACTGTGGGTGAGGAAGGAATGGATGTGCCTGGAGGCAGGCTGGTGACAGGGGTACAAACTCCAGTTCAAGAGTGGTTAAAGTAGCTTTCTAAAATTCAGTCACAGCGAACACGCAGGCAAGAGTGGAAATGGTGGGGTAAGCGACTACAAAGTATAGGTAGAAGAGAAAGTTACACAGCTAGAGAAAGAGAAAGCAGAAATGAATGGAAGTAAAGGGAATGGAAGCATACTTCTGTTTGGTATAGTTTCAAATCCGTATGTGATCATGTACACTCATGGACCTACTGAGATTTTTATTTGTGGTAGAAAGCTACTGCTACTGAGCCTTTGAACATAGTTTCAAACAAGGCAATTCAGTCTCCTCATGTAGAGTTGGAAGTTACAGTTTATTACTGATTTCTGAGTCAGTGACAAAGTAGTTACAACTTTAATTCTGGATCTAGCTGAAGAGCTCACAGATTGCTACCTAATCACACCCTCTAATAATCATGATGAAATGAGCACTTGGAAAGACAAGGTAACATTTATTGTACCTGCGCAGCCCAAAGCATTGTTTTACACCTGGGAAATCTACATTAATGCCTTATTAAACTTACAGGATCAACAGTAAAAATGTTACATGGCACCACCAAAAGCTTAATACATAAAAAGCCTTATTAGCAAACAATTGATTTGCCCCTGCAAGTGTTTCTGTTGATCCTATTCTGTTTCCTTTGTTGAAGAACATCAATGAAAGAGTTGCTGAATATTTTCAATTTCCATTAGAGAACAGGAAATGGAAGTTGTTAGCATCTTTCAGGACATACTCAACACATTGAAAACACTGAGCCCATGTTTGAAGTCCTTACTCAGAGACAAAAAAAGATGGATATTATCGGTGAACCAGTTCTTCACCTAGCAAATTCAGTGGTTTTATTTTCCAGTGTTCAAAGTTTCTCTATTTTTCTATTTGCCACTAGGAGAACATTTGCAGCTCCTGCATACTTTTCATAAAAATCAAGAACCAAAGCGGGCAAAGATAAAATGTAAACTACTCAGAATAGGCAGGTAGCCTGCAAGGCTCCTAGAGCACAATCCCAACTTCCTCTAATACTGTGTATGTAGTTGTGCTGGTTTTGGCTGGGGTAGAGTTAATTTTCTTCATAGTAACTAGTATGGGGCGGTGTTTTGGATTTGTGCTGGAAACAGTGTTGATAACACAGGGATGTTTTTGTCATTGCTGAGCAGCGCTTACACAGAGCCAAGGCCTTTTCTGCTCCTCCCCCCCCCCCGCCAGTGAGTAGGCTGGGGGTGCACAAGAAGTTGGGAGGGGACACAGCTGGGACAGCTGACCCCAACTCACCAAAGGGATATCCCATACCATATGACGTCAAGCTCAGCATATAAAGCCGGGGGGAAAGCTGGCTGGGGTGCTGCTGCTCGGGGACAGGCTGGGCATCAGT